ACCCAAAGAGACAGATCAAGATGTCAACAGATGCTTCACAGTCAGGTTTAGGGGCTGTATTGCTACAGCTTTATGATGGTGAATGGTGTCCTGTGGCATATGCTTCGAGAGCCATGACGGAGACCGAAAAGGAGACTGAGTATTGTATTCGGGTGTGAGCGTTTCCACCAGTATATTTATGGACAGAGTATTATCGCAGAGACCGACCATAAACCGCTCGTGTTTATCTTCGCAAAATCACTTGCTGATTGTCCGCTGAGAATCCAGCGACTGAAATTTCGACTACAGAAGTATGACCTAAAAATCACGTACACACCAGGAAAACACATGTACGCAGCAGATACATTGTCACGTGCATACATGAAGGACACAGGAAACAGTGACATTGACATTGAGGTGCAAGCGTACATTGATGGAGTCAAATCAACAACCAGTGTGTCGGAGTCGCGCATGAAAGAAATCCAGGATGAATGACTGCAGCTGCTGATGGTCACTATATTGAGTGGATGGCCAAACGACAGAGTGACTTGTCCAAGTCAAATTCTAGAATACTGGAACTATAGAGATGAACTGTCGGTGATTGACGGGATTATTTTCAAAGGGAGTCGAATTTTAATTCCCAAAAAACTGCTGAAAAAGATTCATGTTGGACACCTCGGGATCGAGAAGTGTCGAAAACGTGCACGCGAAGTCCTATTTTGGCCAAGGATGAACTCCGACATCGCCAATGTGATCAAAGATTGTGAACATTGTCTCACACATCGAAGACGTCAACAAGTAGAGCCATTAGATTCTCATCCGATTGTAAGTCGACCATGGGAGAAAGTGGCAACTGACTTGTTTTCATACAGTGGTCAAGACTATCTTGATAGTAGTGAACTTTCCCTACTGGAAACAATCACCAGACAGAGTCGTCAAGAAAAAAGTGTTGTCGCAAAAGAAACAGAAACACTATCATGACTGTGGAACTAAGCAGCTTCCTGCTCTTGAACCCGGTTCCCGTGTTAGAGTGTTCAACGACGATGGAAAAATCTGGCGCGAAAAGGGAGTAGTGATCAGAGAAGTTGCAAACAGGTCGTTTATGATTCAGACAGAGGGTCTGATTTGCGGAGAAATCGATCGGCATTGCTGAAAACCAACGAGCCACTGCCAAGACCCGAGGTGGAGATGTCAACCCAGAAGTTGCAGGGGGAGACAACTCAGCAGCAGTCCGGTATCCCAGTGGAATCGTCTAAACCCAATACTGTTGGTGACAGCCAGCCTACCTGTATCACCAGATCGGGTCGAGAGATCAAAAGGCCACAGCGATTGATTGAAGCATGAACAGACATATATTTCAAGTTGGAAATAGTCAGCAAATTTTCAGTTAATGCAACTTCTTTTTTGTGACAGTTAAATTTCAAGTTATTTCAGTGACAGCTGAAATTCAGTGTTTAAATTTATACACTAAATTTAGTTCATCAGGCAGATGATTATATCGTGAAAAGTTGAGCTAATGCAAGATCACTTCTTAATATAATAAGGTATCCGAGGACAGTCAGAAAGAATTGTAAAGACTTTGAATGAATGCGACACTGCTGAGCATTAGTTCTGGAAAAGTGCATCGGAAATGGAAAGTAGGTTATTACAACAAAATGTATACAACACCAGAGTTTGTTTATATGGTACGGTATCTATATTTTACATACAGTGAGAGTTTAAGCACAGGAAGGGAGATGTAATGATATGAACAGTTTAACATAACGACTGCTCCCTACATATTGAACTGTACTATATTAGGACCGCTCCCTATACCATGCTTGCACACAACACATGCGCAGTGTCAGTTGCTCAGCCAGTGTTCGCCATATCATACACATTTGTATCGTCAGAATACACGTTATATGTTTGAACCCTGTTTTCACTCGTTAGTAATTGTCACAGACAGACATAACATTACATCGTGGTTATTAAATCGCACCAATTCACCAAGGCATCATACCGATAATCTACACATTTCTATATAAACTGAATAATGTTACTACATATACTCGATTTTACATTACAATGAAACACGTCTGCCAACACGTGCAACAATTAGAACATAGATCTACCAAGTATTGATATCTTCTGGGTTATCGCATCTCCGATCCTACATGGGCTTCCTCGGTTAACACGCTTAGTGTCGCCTACGTTGGTCTAGCGTGAGCCCTGACAAATTCTATGAGACTCGGAGGCAGCTGCAGCCTGTTCTCGTATGCAACGCTGTGTCTGACGATAAAGCGCGCGCAGTGGCACTCCAGCGAATAATACTGCGCGTTCATTCTGCCATGTATCTCGTCACTCGACTCCACGTTGCCACGGAAACGCGTCAGGTAAATCCGGCGCCAGAGTTTGTATGGCGTCTTTCCCCGTGCGTTCACCACGTCGACGTGTGCACCGTGGTTAAACAGCAGCATGTGCACTATCTGCACGTACCCCTCCCTCTCTCGCGTGTAAACATCGTCTTTGCATGCGAGCATCGCCCTACAGAAGCTGTGCAGTGGGGTGTCGCCCTTGCTGTCGCGTGTGTTAACCTGTAGAGGTACGCCGGCAAACTCGCACGTCTGTAAGAGAGCTGACGCAGCTTGTACCACTGACTCCGCTTGTTCTGCTGGTGCAGCATGTGCTCCTCGCTCACTCATTCTGGTGCTTCTCACCTCCGCCTGGTTGCCTATTATAGCGAGCGGCGTCCTCTTGTTACAATCGACGAGGTTCGGGTCAGCTCCGTGATTCAAGAGGTGAGTAATCATCTGTGTGAACGAAAGAAACGAGGATCGTTAACAACCCGATTTTAGGTTCGTTCCTTAAAGAACAAGTTTCTCCGAGCATACTACTTTTGTTACTGTTGCCGGTTACTAACTATTACTATTATTAAATTATTAACTATTAACCAATTACTATTACTGATTACCATTATTATCTAGACAAAAATACATTGGAACATCGCTAGAATTGTCTCCGTCGTTCACAACGCACGCCCGCAGTTTCACCTCGGTACCGAGTAGATTGCCGGAGTAGTGTAATGTGGTAAAACAGTATAACAAATCTATTTATTCACTGTTAACCGATTACTATTACTGACTACCTTTACCATCTATAAGAAAATACATTAGGACATTGCTAAAATTCGGTCTCAATCATTCGCAACATACGCCTGTAGTTTTACCTCGGTTCGAAGTCGATCACAGGAGTAGTGTAACGCAGTGAAACTCCCCCTTTCTTCCGTCGCGGCGACGTCGGCGTCAGCCTCCAGTAGCAGGCGCATGATGTCCAGCCAGCCAGAACGAGCCGCCATGTGCAGGGAGGTCTGTCCCTGCGAGTCCGCGGCGTTGGGGTTGGCGTCGTGTGAGAGCAGCATCCGCACCATCGCCTCCTCGCCCTTACTCACCGCCATCATCAGCGGCGTCTCTCCGCTCATCTTCTGGGCGACGTTGGGGTCGGCACCGGCCTCCAGTAGCAGGCGCACGATGTCCAGCCAGCCAGAGCGAACTGCGTGGTACAGGGAGGTCCATCCGTACAAGTCCGCAGCGTTGGCGTCAGCGCCGTGTGAGAGCAGCATCCGCACCGTCGCCTCCTCGCCCTCCCTCACCGCATTCATCAGCGGCGTCGCCCCGCTCTTCGTCTCAGCGACGTTTGGATCGGCGCCGGCCTCCAGTAGCAGGCGCATAATGTCCAGCTGGCCAGAGCGAGCTGCGTGGTACAGGGAGGTTTGTCCATGCGAGTTCGCGGCTTTGGGGTCAGCGTCGTGTGAGAGCAGCAACCGCACCACCGCCTCATTGCCCTTACTCACCGCCATCATCAGCGGCGTCCTCCCGTGCTCCTTATCGGCGACGTTTGGATCGGCGCCGGCCTCCAGTAGCAGGCGCATGATGTCCAGCCAGCCAAGGCAAGCCGCGTAAATCAGGGAGGTCCATCCGTACGAGTCCGCGGCGTTGGCGTCGGCGCCGTGTGAGAGCAGCATCCGTACCGCCGCCTCATCACCCTCCTTCACCGCTATCATCAGCGGCGTCTCCCCGCTCTTAATTAAGATAAATTAAGAATCTTAATTTTTCTTAAAATCGATAAGAAATCAATGAGTAATTGTTCGATGACATGAACACATGTTGATAGATTTCTATGAGATCTGTTCCTGATTGTTTAGATCATAATCGGATACATATATATATATACTCTAGGACTACTTGATACTTTTGATACTGTAAGAGCGAGATTTTGAACCTCGTGACTCAGACTCAAGTGAAGTGACTCATAACGCACTACGGATCTCTCTCGCTCTCTTCTCGATGTACGAGGAACTAGTTCAAATAGTGATATTGTTGAACAAAATCAATGAACAAATACTGAATTTGCAACTACTGTTTCCAATTCCTGCTTCCAGAACTGAATGAACATTCGCAGTGCGATTATACAATTTATTATAACGGTTAATATGTCTATGTATGCGTGTACGTGTACGCATATTAGCTCAATTCAAATTGTACAGTGCTCACTCCTCCATGCTCTGATAACTTTCTAGTCGTAACGGCCAAATCCTATTTGACACTGTCTAACACAATTTTTAAGACTGTACGCCCCCATTAACCAAACTCACGACATGGGGGTGTAAACGCTACTCTGACCAGTAACTATGAGTCAAAATTACACTAATTACACCCAAGAACCACCACAACTCACGGACAAATACAAGTAGCGAATCTCACCATGATTGAAGTGTTCTCGGGAAC